GTCCTATATACATTATAAGAAGAAGAAATTGTCAAAGTGGGAAGTCTGAATGTGCGTTTGGGTGTTGTGGGAGATGATAAGAAAGAGATGATTGTGGATGTTATGAATGAGAAAAAGCTGGATGTCCCGGCTTTAAGTGAAACAAAGCTGAAGGGGGTGGGAGAAGTTTCAGTGGAGAGGAATAAATGGGATTAGGTCAGGGGTTTCAAATAGAGTTAGAGCTAAAGAAGGAGTAGCAATAAGTTGAAGGATAAGCTTTTGGCAGGGAAAAGAGGGGGCTATAAAAGTATTAATTCAAGGATTATGGGAAATAAAATAAAGATTGGATGTGAAAAGTGGGTTATAATAAGCGTGTATGCAAACCCGGAGAAAAGAGAAGTGTAGAGGAGAGAGAGAGAATTTTGGGAAAATGTTGAGTGAATGGTGGGGGTTTTGAATCAAGTGTGAGAGTAATGGTGGTTGGGGATTTTATGCTAAAGTGGGTAAAAATTTATGGAGGGAGTAGTAGGTAAAATTTGGGGTGCCAGGGGTAAATGTAAATGGGGAGCCTTTAATTGAGCTATGTGTAGAAAGAAATTTGGTAATAAGTAATACATATTTTATGAAAAAGAGGATAAAATAAATATACAAGGTTATGATGTAGCACGTAATGAAAGTAGTTTTATTAGATTAAAGTATTGGTGGAAAAAGGTTGATGGGTAGGCTCCAGGATGTACTGTTTATAGAGGGGGAACTGATATATCGGATCATTATTGTTGTAGCTACAGTTTGAGTAAGAGGTAGATGGGGAAAAGAGGAAGGTGGCAACAACAAGTAAGAGGGAAGTGAAGTGTATAAACTAAGGGAGGAGGAAGTTCGGTTGTGAGATATAAGCGACTATTGGCAGAAAGGTGGGCTAGTGCAAAGATGAGTAGTTGGGGGGGTTGAAGAGGGTTGGAATAGTTTAAAAATGCAGTAAATTTGAATGTGGGCAGAAGTTTGTGGTTTAGGAGGGTGGGGGCAGGAAAGGGAAAAAGGAGGATTGGTGGAATGATGAAGTAAAGGGTGTGATAAAAGAGAAAAAGGTAGCTTATGAGAGGTTTTTACAAAGCAGAAGTGTTATAAGAAGAGCAGAGTATATGGAGAGTAAAAGGAAAGGTAAAGAGAAATGGTGAGAGAGTGCAAAAGGAGAGCAGATGATAGAGTGGGAGAGCACTGTCAAGAAATTTTAATGAAAATAAGAAAAAATTTGGAGTGAAATTAAAACAAGTTAAGAAAGCCTAGGGAAAATATGGATTTGTCAGTTTAAAAACAGATTTGGGGAGTTAGTTAGATGGGGAGAGGGGGTATTGGGTAGATGGCGAGAATATTTTGAGGAACTTTAAATGTTAAGGAAGAAACAGAGGCAGTAATTTATGCACTGGTTCAGGGAGGTATACCATCTTTTAGGAGTGAAGAAGAGCAGAATGTAAGTGTGGGGGAGGTACGTGGGCATTACGTAAAATGAAAGGGGGTAAAGCAGCTGGAACTGATGGGATCATGACAGAAATTTTTAAAAAGCAGGGGGGGTATAGTGTTGGAGTGGTTGGTACTTTTGTTTAATAATGTATGAAAGAGGGGAAGGTACCTGGGATTGGCAGGAGAGCATTATAGTCCTTTATATAAAGGGAAAGGGGACAAAAGAGACTGTAAAAAATTATAGAGGAATAAGTTTACTGAGTTACCAGGAAAAGTTACGGTAGGGTTATAATTGAAAGAATTAGAGGTTTAAAACAGAATGTAGGATTGCGGATGAGCAAGGAGGTTTTAGGTGGGTAGGGGATGTGTAGATAGGTGTTTTACATTGAGAAATATGTGGGAAAAGTATTTAGATAAAGATAGGGAAGTTTTTATTGCATTTATGGATTTAGAAAAGGCATATGATAGAGTGGATAGAGGAGCAATGTGGCAGATGTTGCAAGTATATGGAATAGGGGGTAAGTTTTTAAATGCTGTAAAGAGTTTTTTGAGGATAGTGAGGCTAGGTTAGGGTGTGTAGAAGAGAGGGAGACTACTTCCCAGTAAAAAGTAGGTCTTTGACAGGTTGTGTAATGTCACCATGGTTGTTTAATATATTTATAGATGGGGTTGTAAAGGAAGTAAATGCTAGGGTGTTTGGGAGAGGGGTGGGATTAAATTATGGGGAATCAAATTCAAAATGGGAATTGACACAGTTACTTTTTGCTGATGATACTGTGCTTATGGGAGATTCTAAAGAAAAATTGCAAAAAGGGTTAGTGGATGAGTTTGGGAATGTGTGTAAAGGTAGAAAGTTGAAAGTGAACATAGAAAGAGTAGGTGATGAGGGTGTCAAATGATTTAGATAAAAAAAATTGGATATCAAATTGGGAGGAGGAGTATGGAAGAAGTGAATGTTTTCAGATACTTGGGAGTTGACGTGTGGCGGATGGATTTTTTGAAGGATGAGGTTAATCATAGAATTGATGAGGGAAAAAAGGTGAGTGGTGCGTTGAGGTATTATGTGGAGTCAAAAAACGTTATCTATGGGGGCAAAGAAGGGGAAAGTATGAAAGTATAGTAGTACCAACACTCTTATATGGGTGTGAAGCTTGGGTGGTAAATGCAGCAGCGAGGAGACGGTTGGAGGCAGCGGAGATGTCTGTTTAAGGGCAATGTGTGGTGTAAATATTATGCAGAAAATTCGGAGTGTGGAAAATTAGGAGAAGGTGTGGAGTTAATAAAAAGTATTAGTCGAGGGCAGAAGAGGGGTTGTTGAGGTGGTTTGGGCATTTAGAGAGAATGGATCACAGTAGAATGACATGGAAAGCATATAAATCTATAGGGGAAGGAAGGCGGGGTAGGGGTCGTCCTCGGGAAAAGGGTTGGAGAGAGGGGGTAAAGGAGGTTTTGTGGGTAAGGGGCTTGGACTTTCCCGCAAGCGTGCGTGGCGTGTTAGATAGGAGTGAATGGAGACGAATGGTACTTGGGACCTGACGATCTGTTGGAGTGTGAGCAGGGTAATATTTAGTGAAGGGGTTCAGGGAAAACGGTTATTTCATATAGTCGGACTTGAGTCCTGGAAATGGGAAGTTACAATGCCTGCACTTTAAAGGAGGGGTTTGGGATATTGGCAGTTTGGAGGGATATGTTGTGTATCTTTATATGTTTATGCTTTTTAGATGTTGTATTTGAGCACCTCTGCAAAAACAGTGATAATGTGCGAGTGTGGTGAAGTGTTGAATGATGATGAAGTATTTTCTTTTTGGGGATTTTCTTTCTTTTTTGGGTCACCCTGCCTCGGTGGGAGACCCGGGCCCCACTTGTTGAAAAAAAAAAAAAAAAAAAAAAAAAAAATTCACATATGTAAAATACTATACAGAGAGTCTCCTACATGCAAACATTTGTGTGTGAACTTTTGATGATACAATTTGAAGAAAGCGCCCAAGATGTAATCAGTACTAGTAGGTTACTCTGACAGTGTCATTTATAATCTGACAGCATTTTTTCATACATATTTCTTATACCCCCAATATGTCTGGCGTTAGGCACAAGAAATGGACTTACAAACGCCATCAGAACCAAATCTGTTCGTAAGCAGGAGAGTATCTGTTCTTCCAGACATTTAAATTAGATTGCCCGAAAGTCTTGCATTACTATGGACTTTCCACTTTGTTATTGTAATGTCATCCAATTTTGTAGTAGCTTTGTATCACGTGGAAATTTAAATTGATTGATTGATGTTTCAGTCCCGAGACTTTTGTCCCCCAAATGGTCATTTGGGTGACAAAGGTCCCAGGACCAAAATTTATCTAGTATAATTTTCCCAGGGGTATGCATTTTTTGTCCTTTGTCCATTTTATTTGTATTATTAAACCCTTCTGCTTTCAAATAATCGTAGCACCTTTTGTGAAAGGAAATCCTCACTGGAGTAACTGAGAGGAATTATAGGGAAGGATTTCTTGAGAATTGGGGATGCAATGTTGATACTGACTGGTAACCATTGCTGACAGTTAAAAAACAAAGTCTGTTGTGGATTTTCTGTAATGGTGTGGGGGACAGTAGGGCCAGTAGGGCCCACAACTGCTGATGTTATGGGTGTGGAAGTGAGTTAGACACTTTTCTACATAGTTGTTTGCTGCAAATATAAAGCCTGAGGCTAGGAGGATCCCAGTGGGATTAAGTCACTTTGACTTTTTTGGGTTATCCTAGGTTCTCGACACATATGCTGCTGTGTATGATAATTATAATCTATCTAACTGTATTTGTGTATACCTGAATAAACCATATGTGAGGCATGATGTAGAGAGGAGCATTCAAAACTTCAAAAAAGTGACCAGAGTAAGCACTTCACAGTGCTTACTCTGGTGCTGGAGGCCACCTTTCAGAGTGCAGTATAACCCAAAAAGAATGACCAAGAAAGGCAAACAAGCCATACCCCTAAAGAAGTGGTGGGATGATCCCATTAAGAAGACTGTCTCCTCAGCAAGGGGTAGGCTTGTTACCTAGAAGAACAGCACAAAACCACTGGACACCACAAAGGTTCAGGGAGTGGAAGTAAGCTCATGACATGTGGAGCACGGTTATGGGCAGGGAAACGTTGACACTTGAAGCAAGTTCATGACATGCAGAACAAGGTAATGGTCAGGAAAAAATTGACACTGGAAGCAAACTCATGACATGTAGAACAGGGTTATAGGCAGGGAAACATACTCTTCAACACATGAACCACAGTTTTCTACCCTGGATAGGTGACTTTATATCCCATAGCTATCCTTTACAAGATATTCATCTTAAGGAAGCTATGGCTGCCAAAATATGAGGAAGAGAGTATATTTCATTACTTACTGTATATAGCAAATTGTATTTTATTGTATCAAGAGTCCTGGAACTGAACATAGCACTGTAGTTTTAAGGAGTGTACATTCTGCAATGTGTTATGTAAGATTCTACTGTACATGTATTAATTAGTAATGACAAAATTATGGTAAAAATTTAATTTGTCTTTTTTCCTCTTTTTACAGGTTGGTTTTTCATTCCAATTAGGTGGCTCTCAAATTCCTGGTGTTAGTTTATCAAGTCAGGGAGGTGGCCAACAAACTTTTGGTTTTGGTTCATCAAGTCAGGGAGGTGGCTTTTTTGGTTCATCAGGTCAGGGAGGTGGCTTTTTTGGTTCATCAAGTCAGGGAGGTGGCCTTATTGATTCATCACGTCAGGGAGGTGGCCAACAAACTTCTGGTTTTGGTTCATCAGGTCAGGGAGGTGGCCTTTTTGGTTCATCAAGTCAGGAAGGTGGAGTTTTTGGTTCATCAAGTCAGGGAGGTGGCCAACAAACTTTTGGTTTTGGTTCATCAAGTCAGGGAGGTGGCCAACAAACTTTTGATTCAAAAAGTCAGGGAGATGACCCTCTGCTTTTAAGTTTTAGTTCAAGCACTGGTGGCCCTCAGCCTTGTAGCTTTGGCTCAAGCATGGGTAGCCCACAGACTATAGGGTCAGAAAGTCAGGGAAGTGGCCCTCAGCCTTTTAGGTTTGGTTCAAACATGGGTGGACTGCAGACTTTAGTGTCAGAAAATCAGGGAAGTGGCCCTCAGGCTTTTAGGTTTGGTTCAAGCATGGGTGGACTGCAGACTTTAGGGTCAGAAAATCAGGGAAGTGGCCCTCAGGCTTTTAGGTTTGGTTCAAGCATGGGTGACCCACAAACTTTAGTGTCAGAAAATGAGAAAAATGGCCCTCAAACTTTAGGTTCAAAAAGTCAAGGAAGTGGCCCTCATGCTTTTAGTTTTGGCTCAACAAGTCAGGGAAGCAGCCCTCAAGGTTTTCGGTCACTATCAGCAAAGATGGCCTGCAAACGTTGAGTTGCCAGCAAGAGCATATGGAGTTGAATTTGCATTTCGAATGGTGCTCTGCAGATAATTTTCGAGATTTGAGAGTGGATTGTGTGTTCATTCTTGCAGATTGTAAAATATACAGAATTTGATTGGACATGGACACTGCAAGATCGTGGCTAAACTATGTTCAGTGAGTCTTGCCAATCCGGACAAGAAGCTTCCAGGTATGAGCTATCACCTTCATCAATTATGAACCAAAAAGATTATCTAAATTTAAGATATTAATATATTCCAAATTGTCACATTTTTTATTTTTCTTGTACATAAATTTAATACACAATAACCCGCACATAGAAATGAGGAGTTAAGCCGAGTTTTGGTCTGACTTGGACCATTTACAAATGGTCTAGTTGACCAAAACATCGTCCGTAAGCTTACTTTTTATGTGCGGGTTATTTGTTTGTTTTCCAGTCACGATTTAGTGTCTTTTTTTTTGTTATTTATTAATTAATTATATTACAAAGACGGAATATTTTGCATTGCTTATACTGTCCTGCGTTGTAACATCCACACAACAATCCCTTTTTACGCTTGTATTGGGTGCCTCTGCTAGACAGTGATTATGTATGAGTGAGTTGAAAGTGTTGAATGATTGATGAAACGTATTTTCTTTTTGGGGATTTTTTCTTTCTTTTTGGGTCACCTGCACGGTGGGAAGATGGCCAACTTGTTGAAAAGAAATAATTAAGATGTAAGAGGGATGCATTGATATAAGTTATTAATCACTAAATATCATGTTATGGATGGAGTGATGTAAATGGTTAGAAAACTGAAAGTTGAAGAATAAGACACATGCAACATTTGGCAATCTTTATTGGAGGAAAATGTTATGCAGCAGCGGCTTCGTTGTATTGGAATGGGAAGCACTAGTGGTGAAGCATTTCCTCAACAAAGATTCCCAAATGTTGCACAGATGTATCAGTCTTCTACATGACTATGAATGTTTGTTAAGGCAAGCTTTAATTGTCTAATTACAAATATTTTACAGTTATTTTATTTTTTGTGTTGTGAAGGCTTATAGCCTGTAACAACTTCTGAACAGTATTACCAGGTGGCTCATCTCAGAAAATTGTGAATAGAAAAAGAAATAATAAAGACAAACATAAACACTTTATTATGTAGAAAATATAAAAAGTAATAATTACATAGTGAAATAATTATTCCTACATTTAAGAAAATGAAAATGAAAATTTAAAGGATAACTGAATTCCAACGCTAATTTAAAAATTTGGGTGTCTGGTGTTGGTGATGACATGGATTGTTGAATCGTAGCCGTTGTGATGTGGGGGGGGGGGTCGCAGGTGTTGGTGACACCCTGGCTAGTTCTACACGTTTATCGCGTGAGTAGTATCCCAATGAAGGAAAAGCAGGTTCTTTACGCTGCAATGAAGTGGGGTTAGTCCTGCAATTTCATACAGGTGCTCAGGTAATTAGATCCAAAATGGGGGAAGTCTTGGACGTTAGCTTCTCCATCAGTTCTTCTCGTTTTGATTGACAGGTGACCTCACTGTCATCCAAGTGAAAGATGACAGGTTACCCACTGCTTAAATAATCACACTCCCATGGCAGTGTACAATACTCAAAGGATGGTGATTATTACACAGTCATTCTGAGAAGACTGAAGGACTAAGATTATATTGGTCAAAAAGTGAAGCTTTTAACCAATAAATCCATAGAAGTACAAGGCAGGCATGACTTACAGTAGTGTTGGGGATGCTGTGAGTCGAGTGATTTCTGTTTGACAGGCCCCCACGTCACTTTCGAGGGGGGGGTGGAAGAAGGAGGGAGGGGAAGGGATTAGCGGGAGCTAGTAGACTGGACCACGTTAACAAGCTGACGGCAATCAAACTATCAACTTTAGGGGGGGGGAGAAAAAGGGGGAAAAGGGAGGTGATTTACCCTACTTAACTTGTAGCGGCAATGAAACTATACTTTCGGGGGGGGGAGGAAGGCGGGAGTTGACCTTACCCTACCTTAACTAGTTGCAAGTAATGAAACTATCGTTACTATATCTTACTCCTATATATTGACTTTTCCCTCAACTCCCCATACCAGACTTTTAGTCAAGGAGTATAGAAGAATAGGCGAGGAAAAAAGTTCTAATTTGTGGAAGTCGCGTAAATGGCAACAAATCTTCTACTGACTGTCCGTCTTAACCAGTCAGAGAATAATTGGAGAACATTGAATATATACCCATTATGTGAACTTTAACAAGGCTGGAGTGCCAATGTCCACCTCAAGAGGCGACTATTGGTTCCCTTAAAGTTTCTAGGTATATCAAAGGTTTGTGGTTGGTTTCTAAATGAATTCTTTTCCCTGCAACTAAAATTGTAAGTTTGGTGTACCCCACACAAGGGCTAAACCATTCCTTTTTATATTGTGGAGTACTTGTATTGGGAAGGGAGTTTCGCTTAGGAGCCTTAAGGGAAGGAGGAGAGTAGTACCATCAATGGTATTGTAGTAAACACTGCACTTAAGCCCGTATTGGAGGCATCAGTTCTCTCAAACAAAATGTTTTATTAATATCTGGATTCTTAAGTATAGGGTCTTTCGAAAGATACTTTTTATTCATTAAACTTTTCCGAGCTACGGCGGAAAGTTCAAGAGGTTCTTCAACAGCTTTTTAGGAAGTAGATAGATGCCTATAAGATCAGTATGGTTCGGGATTAAACCGTGCTTAACAATTTACAGAACCAAGAAAGCTTCGCATGAGCTTTGGTTTGCGGGAATTTTTATATTCTAATAAGGATTTGATCTTACTGTGGAGAGGCGTGAGAGTGTATTAGAAAGTACAGTCCAAGATATCTAATCTTGTTCTACACAAGGAAGCATTTCTTCGGATTGGAGTGAGGCATGTGAGCGTAACTACGCCAAAACTGATGTTAATGTTGGGATATGTTCGCCCCTCGTAGATGTCATTACGTAAAATGTTATCAAATAAACCTGAAACATTGGCATATTACCCAAGACCTTTTCTCATCAGTCTCACGTAGGTAGCTCAGGCATGTTTACCAAACGGAAGGGCATAGTTCTATACTAGAATGTCAGTCTTGTTGCTGTAAGTAGGAAAGTGGTGTAATGCTTAGAAGAAGGATCTAACATTATTGATGAATGCCTGTGCAATATCAATCTCTGAAAAGCAAAGGGTCAAAGCGTTCATAGAAAATTTGTGTAGATCGCATTCTATTAAGGGCATAGGATCTGCATCCCACTGTGTTATAGCAATTAAGGCTTGAAGTCAATAGAAAGTCTTTTGAATTATACTCTTCTTAACCATGATACTGGTGGCTTTATGAAGATACTGGTAAGGGTTCATTGATCTTTAGTTTATAATTTGGCTACATCTCGGTCAATGCATCCCTAAGGTGAAACTGGAATGTGGTATAATCGTGAGTAGGATTGTCGTCAATAAGTCATATTATGGACTACCGTGGAACCGGTAATCACTGGAATTCAGTTAAAGACGTCTTTGAAAAGTTACTTCAACATTGAAGTCGTTATGTCTCGTATGGTCATCCAAGATTATTATATTAATGATGGTTGCATCGAGTGGTCAAGAGGGTCACCGTCCTGTAGTTTTCATCATGGTTAAGATGAAGGTGTAATTTCGCAACATTTACATTTTCAGTTGTCTTATCAAGTTCGAGTGAAAAATAATGTCAAAGTTATTAAGGCAGTTTAATACCGAATTTCTTCGGTAATATTTCTTAAGGATGTTGATATGATAAAGCTTTGGTTTCCTTGACTTCTATGAGGAAGTCAACACTTTCCCACAAATTTTTAATACTTTATATGGGACCTTTCTCCTGCTACTAACAATTTATTTGATTATCGGCAAAAGTACAAGAAACTTCATCTCCTACTTTAAAACTTCTCTCTGACTTTTGGAATCAATACGGTTTGGTTCTGGTCCATTGAAAGGCTTTAGGTTTTTTGAACTATGTAAGAGGTCTCCTCAATTTGGATCTGAAGGTCAAGGAGAAAAAATGGTAAGAAGACTGAACTCAGATTTACCTCTCATTAGTCCATAACGTCATGAAGGATGGACAGTGGACTTGGCATGTCTACCAAAGAGAAGTTCAAAAGGTTGAATACCCCAAAGAGTCACTGGGAACTTCATCTGGCAAAACAAACACAGGGTAGGTAACGATGCCACTCTTAGGTTTTAGGGGGGCATAGTTTCTTAAAATGGATTGAGCATCGAAATGCTGGCGCTCAATCTTCCATTGCAGCTGGGTTGCTCGTAGGGTGTGGTTGGAAGAGAGGCTTCACTCCAGAAGTTGGTATAGTTGTTGCATTAGTCAGATGTGAAAGGTGTACCTCACGTCAGGGAACAAATTTCTCTAGGGATGCCACTTGGAGAAGTGGACAAAAGGGCTTCAGCACCTCTGTAGTGTTATGGTCTTTAAGGGAAGGCTTCAGGGAAACTCGAAGCTTAATCAATAATTGTTAATATATATCTATGTCCCCCAGTGAATGTGGAGATTAAAAGACCAACAGATGTCAATGCTATCTTTCAAAAAGGGTACCGTAAAAGGCTGGCGTTTTGACTAGGTACTCGCCCCTGGTTACTGGGCAGGATGGACGTTGGCAAACTTTACACGATCTCAATAAGTTAGTGACATTCTGAGGACATTTTAGGCAAATGGGTTTCCCTAATTTTTTTATTTAAAGTTTTACGATGCTGAGATATGTCGGCCTACTGGCCAGGTCATGAGCCATTTTAAGAACAGTCTTCCTGCATGAATTGGGACAACTAAGATGGATTAGTCTGTTCTTCTGAATTTAATTGAATACTGACTTGTGCAAGATTTTTTTTTTTTTTTTTTTTTTTGCAACAATCGGGTGTCTCCCACCGAGGCTGGGTGACCAAAAAAGAAAGAAACTCCAAAAGAAAATACTTTATATCATTCAACACGGTCAACACTCGCACATTATCACTGGTTTGGCAGCTGGTGCTTCAGGAT